TGTATGTATGGATCACTTGGGTTGTTACCGACATCTGGTGAAAAATTCATGTCATTAGCACCTCTAGTAATATATTTACTGAGAAAAATGGTGACGTGTTCAATACTTATTTTACCCGCTGTATATTAATGGTACCAACATCGTCTGTCCTGTGCAGAATGACAAAATGCAAAATCATTTATTTCCTAAAACCTCTGTGACTTTGCTCTAGTTAAATTTAGCAGCATTAATCTTTGCACAGGTAATGCCCACAAGTGGATTTATGGTTTCCAAGACCGTTTAGCCTGATTCATTATGGTTTTCTATGGGTTAGAGACTGTCAACTGAAAATATTTTTCAGGTGAGAGTGAAAAAAAATATGTTCCATCCCCAGTATTTCTAAAACCACAGCAGCTGTTTTAATACTCACACTTTTGATGAAATCTCCCGTGTTAGCTTTATTTTAATACCAAGATTATTTAAAGGGGCAACATCATGTAAAATGAAATTTTTGAGTTTTATATCATGTTATAATGTCATACTCTCATAAAAAACATGCCCAAAGCCTTGCTCTGACTCATTCATGCATGTTTGAGAAATCCTGCAGCRTTTTTATGAAGCCGTGCTGAGGAGCAAAACGACAGGTGGGGACCTGAAACGCCCCTGGGACGTGTCTTTAAGCCGAACTTCCTCATGGCAGAGCACACCCCCTACCCACTCCCACCCCACAAATCCTGGCCATGACTCCTGCAGGCTCTCGGGTGAAATTGAAAGTGAAACTTAAACTGTCTGCTGAGCTCTCAACATCAGTTCTCACTCAGCGAAGCTCCTTTCAGATTAAAAATACCTTTGAGGAAATGTATTTCCGGATGCCAAGTGAACTGCATCATGGCAGAACACCCCCACTCCGCACCAAAATGGGGGGAACGGAAGCAGAAGGAGGTTCTTAAAGAGACAGAGGCCAATTTTAAGGCGTTTAGAAGAGGAAGTGATGAGAAGATAAGTTTATCTATTTAAACATAAAAACAGCCTTTTAATAACAACTAAAGGTGACATAGATACTTTATTGTGGTATAGTATTTAAATAAATGCCTGAAAAATGCATAATATTGCCCCTTTAAGTAGAGTTTGTAAATGCTGAGATACACTCGATTACATTTCAGCATGGTATTTTGAGAAAAAAGTTCAAGAAAACACCTTGGGGCTTAAGAGGTTAAGAAGCAAAAGGCTATAGCTCAAATCTAAAGGTATCAAAAGGCTGGCTAAAAGTAGCTTAAGGTCATCTAAAAGCAGCAAAAGCTAGTTAAAAGCTAAAGGTAGCACAATGGTAGCCAAATAAAAGTTAAAACAGGAATAAAAACAGAAYACAATGATYTGYAAATCCTTTTCAACCTAGACTCAATTGAATACACTTCAAATTCAAGATATTCATGTTCAAATGGATAAACTTTATTGAGAGGCTGGTTTGATAACAATCCAGACAGTCCTTTTCTTCTTTGACCCGTAGGACACCAAGTCTATGATTTCTATAAACTATATGTGGACTCATCAGACCAGAGGACACTTTTACCTCCATTGGTTTTTCACTCATCATTCCCTGTGAATGACTGAGCCTTTCATGGATGCTCCCTTTAAACACGACACTCACCTGCTTCTAATTAACATGCTTACCTGTGGGATGGTCCAAACAGGTGTATTTAAGTTTTCTTTAGCTTTCCCAGCCTTTTGTTTTCCCTGTCCCAGCAGGCATTAAATCCAAAAAGAGTGAATATTTGCAAAAAAAAAACAAACAAACACGTTTTTCTGTTTGAACGTCAAATATCTTGTCTTTTTAGTGTATTTAATTGGATATAACGATTTGCAAATGATCATATTCTATTTTTATTTGTTTTTCACAAAGTCCCAGCTTCATTGGAGTAAAAGACAAATAAAGCAGAAGCAGATTTTAAGCTAAACAAAGTAGGGAAAAATTATTCATAAATTTTAAAGGTATAAAAGCTAAAAAATTAAAATTAACAGCATATCCAGAATGAGATACATTTCTCGACACATGAAGGGTTAAAAATGCACCAAGTATGAAAACACAATAAGACAGTAAAAACAACTAAAAACAACCCTGAATGTTAAATGTCTGACCTCCACTACGGTGCCGCAGGTCTTCAGGCTGAACTGGAGGTTGACGTGCGTGCCATTGGAGACGCCTCTGCAGGACGAGTTGGACAGAAAAAGCTCCAGTCCTCCYACGAAGTCTTTAGGGACGGACACAGTGATGGAGCTGGGGTCACACTGGACTGGCACTGCAGCAAGACAACAAAAAGGGCCTTTTAAACTATCTGAAATCCTGTTTCTCCCATGAAGAGTTGGTTCAAGTATTCCACCACTACAACCTCATAACACACAAACATTCATTTAAACAGGTTATAGACTGAAATTATTATTAGTAGAATTTGTTTTATACCATAATGGAATCATAATAGCTGTATTTAATTGACTCAACAAGATAAAATAAAATGTACTTTACAATAAGGCTCTCTGTATAGATGGCTTATAAATAGATTATAGATAGGCTATTAATTCACCTGTAAACACTTTATAAATCATCAATAAGTGTTTAAAATGCGTTAATTAAGGATGAGAAAGAGACAAAACTGTCCGGTTTCTTGTCAAATAGTGAGCCAAATCTGGACACAATACAGTGCTATATTAAACATTTCAAACTAGGTAAAAAAATACATTTTTTACATAAAATATTGGGTACCACTTTACAATAAGGCTCCCCTTATAGATGGATTATAAATAGTTTATAGATAGGTTATTGATTCATCTGTAAACACTTTATAAATCATTAATAAATGTTTATTATGGATTAATTAAGAACGGGAAAGAGAAAACTGTCTGGTTT